CATCAACAAAAAGACAAACAACCTAGTTTTAAAAATGGAAAAAGAACTTGAATAGATTAGATGTTTCTCCAAAGAAGATATATAAATGTCCAAAAAGCACGTGAAAAGATAGTGTCATTGTTAACTGCCATTCAATTGGTTCCAACTCAGAGTGACCCTGTATAGGGTTTCTGAGGAGCAGCTGATGGGTTTGAACCATCCACCTTGCAGTTGGCAGTCCAATGTTTACCCTACAGCTCCACACCAGGGCTTATCATTGCTCCACATCATTGCTGTTGTTGTTGGTCAGTGACATTGAGTTGATTCCAACTCATAGCAAACTTGCATAGAGTTTCTAGGGAATACCTGGGGAGCTTGAACCTCTGACCATCTTGCCTTTCAAACAACCTTGGAGTCCAGTGCATTAACCCTCAGTGCCAGGGAAATTCTAATCAAAACCACAATGAGATAACACTTCACACTCTGAACGAAGAATAGAATTTAAAAAAAAAAAAAAAAAAAAAGTTCAGGGACAAGATAGTGAAGTTGGCAGATGCCCTGAGAAGACACTGTGGAGCAAGGCCTCAGGAAACCAAGTGAAACAGATATGGATGGTGATGGGATCCCAAGCTTCTGAGGATAGAGATGTGGATTGAGTGCTGACAGGAAAAGGAAGCTGAGAAAGAGCTGAGAGGGAGGAGACAGGCAGGCTGTTGGCTGACCTAGCACGGTATGGCCATCTTGATCTTTTGCTGGTGGGTGTCACAAGACATTTGCTGGAGTTTGTCAACTTGGTGTATGGTTCTCCCTTATTTCTCAAGTCCTTATGGTAGCTGGAGTGTGGTCAGTCCCCACCTTCACCTGCCTATTGTCCAATGGCACCTCCTCCTGTGCAGGTCAGACCCCAAACATACCATCCCAGAATCTGGAGGCATGTGAATTTCACCCCATTAGATCTTTCGTTACTATTGTTTTTTTCCCCAGACAGCAATTGTGCCCATATGGCCCAACCAGATCTCTACCTCCTGCTGCTTCACCCACTGGACAAGCGCTACTACTCACTTCTGTACCATCTGATGAACAATTATCAGCAGCCAACATCAGACAAACCCATCTGAACTATGCTACACAAACAGCAAACAGAGAACTGCATACATACATCCAGTTTCTATCATATCCACCAGGAGACAGGTGGTGAGTGTCTGAGTACATACCAACAATCATCAATTAAATACAAATACAATGTCTTGGAGACAACAGACAGTTTCAGCTTACCCGAAGAAACAAGACAGTACCTCTAATAAGTGACAAAAATACAAAGTCAGAAAATATAATATCAGAAATAGTATAAGAACTATCTGATAAGGAATTTAAAATAATAATATCTAGGTACCTTCAATGGAATGAAAGAATGATCAAGGAAGAAGAGCCCAAGCAGAACATGGGACCCTAATTAGAAAAGCAGCCACACCAGAGATGGAGGCAGAGATGATGACATGGAGAGTCAGAGCAGCTGAGGACTCTAGACTCATGGAAAGAGAAAGACTGTGTGCTGGCAGCCAGGAGGCAGGCTTGCAAAATGTGCCCTTTGGTTGTTTAATTGATTATATATTCCTGCATGTTTTTGTGTACATCAAAAAAAAAAAAAGAAAAATCAGAGGGAATAGAAGCAAATACTGTTAACCGATGATGCATGGAGGGGATTGTAATCATTGCAATGAAATAAAATACGATAGGTTAAGTGCAAATTCGAAGTACTCGTAAACTATCACTCAATTCACAATAAAAGCTTTAAATAAATAATTGACAAAATAAATGAAAAAAAAAAAAAATAGGAACCATACAAAACAGCAAATAGAAAGCCAGAAGATAAAAGACTTCAGAAATATATTGTACATTGAAAGGGTAAATAAGTACAACTGAATCATTGGAAGGCTGGATTCCTGAGTTTGGCTACAAAGCTTTCAATATGTAACTGCTAGAGGAACAATTAAAAAAAAACCCAATGAAATCCTAGTATTTATGTGGGACACAATCAATTTCAGAACAGGAAGCGACAAAACAAAACAAAAAAAGCACAGAGAAAGTTGTCAAAGAGTTGTTGGAAGAAAATTTCCCTAACATCTTGAAAAATAAGGTATGCATTCAAGAAACTGAACAAACTCCAAACAGGGATCAACCCCAAAAGAAAATCACCAAGATATATTATAATTAAACTTTCCAAAACCCAAGACAAGGAAAGAATCCTGAGAGCAACTCAGGAAAAATGAAAAGTTACCTACAAAGGAGAACTAATAAGACTAAGTTCTGATTTCTCAGCAGAAATCATGCAGGCAAGAAAATAAGGGATGACATATATAAAACTCTGAAAGAAAAATATTGCCAACCAATAATCATATTCTCAGCAAAACTGTCTCTCAAATATGATGGACATTTCCAAATAAATTATACCTTTTCCAGATAAACAGAAATGAAAAGAATTTGTAACAACTAGGCCGACTCAACGACACTTAACAACAATAGGCCAATCTTATAAAAAATATTAAAGGGAGTTCTTTGGACAGAGAACCAACAACAGCAGACAACAATCTGATATTAGTATATGACAATGTCACCCAGAACTCAACGCAGATATAGACGCGTCCAAAGTAAAACCTACAAGACTGCAACAACAACAAAATTTCCACAGAGTACAAAGAACAATAATGTAACAGAACTTCCAACTGCAGAGGAAATCAAGTAGATTTTAATAAATAAACTTAACTGTAACCCTAAAACTAAACAGTGCCTCTAGCCCACCCCTACTCCTAACTCTAACACTACACCTAACCATAACCCTAACACTAAACAAAATCCTAGGTTTAGCCTAGACTTGGTGTGGCACTGTAGGATCAGCGCTTGACTCTGAACCATAAGGTCAACAGTTCAAACACCAGCTACTCCTTGGAAATCCTATGTGGTGGTGGTTGTTAAGTGCCAATGAGTTGGTTCCAATTCATAACAACCCTGTATAGGGTTTCTGAGGAACGGCTGGTGAGTTTGAACCAACGACCTTGTGGTTCAAACTGACCTTGAAGTCAAGTGCTTATCCTATGGTACCACACCAGGACTCCTAGAAACCCTATACTCCTCAAGAGCACTTAATAACAACAAGCCTAGACCTAGTCATATAGCTCTAATCCTAACCCTAACTCCTTACTACTGCCCCCTCCTCCCATATATAGTGTAGAAAATTTTGTTAAACAGGCAGTGTTGGCAAGGATATGAAGACATTGGAACCCTCATCCATTGTTGGTGGGAATGTAAAATAGTGTAGCCTGTGGAAATTGTTTGGTAGATATTCAATAAGCTAAACATAGTATTAGAATGTTATTGTTTTTGGGTGTCATCAGTACTGACTCATAGTGACCCCATGTGACAGGGTTGTTTTGGTTATAATATTTATGGGAGCAGATCACCAGGTCATTCTTTCTTGGAGCGTCTGCTGAGCGCTTACCCATCATGCCACCAGGACTCCTTAGTCTTATCATATGATGCAGCAATTTCACACCTAGGTATATATCCAAAAGAATTGAAAACTGATATTCAGAAGCAAAAACTTGTACACAAATGCTCATAGCAGAACAATTCATGTAGCCTAAGAGTGAAAACCAGCAAATATCTATCACCTTTTGGAGTGATGAAATGTTCTGGAGCAAAAGAGTGGTGATGTTTGCAAACACTGTGATGGACTAAATATCACCAATGGTAAACGCTATGTGCGTTTTACCACAATTTTTAAAACAACAACACATTTTATTGGGAGTTGAGTGAAAGTTTACAGAGCAGATCATGTTTTACATTCAACAAATCACACACTTCATTTCATCTCAGTGATTGAAATCCCCTCAATGTAGCATCATGTATCCCAACTTCCTCCCTGTGGTTCTTGTTTCCATCCTCCTTCTTTCCCACCCCTTTTGAATGTTGTTCTTAGGAAGGCCCTTTTAATCTCCAATGGTTGAGGTTGACCATTCGAAAGCATACCTCACTAGTGTTGCTGTACCCCTATATACCTACCTATTATTTGGCTGAAAATTAAGCCATGGTGAGTTCAGTTCCAA